ATCCCCCTCTCCCATTTTCCCACAATAGAAAACTGTTCTGACCCCTCCCCCCTCCGTACGGTGAGGCACTCCGACACAAGATTACTGCTAGACAATTTATTCACAGTAAATTAACACACCGACAAGACCTTGGCAGCAATCCAAGATAAGAAATACACACGAGAGCTTCTCCAGCGTTGGTATATTAGTTGAATCCTGCAAACAGATTTCTGCAAATCCTGCAGTATCTCCTTATATACTCTCTTGGAAGAAGCCTAATTATAACCACCTAGGTCCAATTATCTTCTGTATCTGCGTAGTTGCTCTCGGCGCTTATCTGCCCGTCTTTGCCTGGCGTCCGGGACCACCTCCCTTAGCTCCTCCCCGCTGCTCCAAGGCCTGGCGTCATGGGCACACTCCCTTTGGCTTTCACCACTGCTCCATGCCTCAGGCACCTCCTGGTGGCCAACCAGCCTCTTTGGTCCCTGCTCGGAGTTGGAACCCTGTCCAGGGTCCTCCTCATCTTCCAGAGCCGACTCATAGGGCCCCTCGCTGTCGGAGTCTGTTTGCAGCTTCAACGGCTCCTGCTGGGCTACAACAGTTCGCCATCACTGACCTAGAGTAATTCCCCTTTGAACTGAAATGGTCACCTGAGACCTTCTGAGAAGATGTCAGGAAGAAAAGAGAGGAAGCTTCCTGTATTTTTGGGGGGGGAGGGGGTATCTGTGTGGATTGCATTAAATTCAGGATTTTCCACCATTAAATAAATACCACATTCCTTAACTTGGACTTGGAAGGAGGGCAAGGAGGGGAGGTTAATAAATCATGTGCAGAGTGGAAAATGTGGGGAGAGAAACATCTTCTCCAGCATTGGGGTGGCTGCCAAAAATAAACCCAGGGACTAAGAAAGGGAAAGGGGGCTTATAAAACATAATTAGCCATAGAATTTTCTCCTATTAGATGCAGCGATGACAAGCAATTTAGATAGGGGATAAAATTGCTTCCCAGAGGCCTGGTTTGTGG